GTGTGTGTGTGTGTGTTTGTGTGTTTCCTGTCCTATTGCAACAGGTGTTTCATCCCTTTTCCATACTGTATTCATTATTTTTCCAAAAACCATGGTTATTGAATAAAAGGCTACAGCTGTTTCTCTCCTGTTTCTATGCGTGTTTTGAATTTTGGATGAATTTGACATAATGCTGTCTTGACTTCCTGATTCATATGAAGACTCATCCTATTTGTGTGATTATTGTAGATGTTTCTTCATGCATTAGTATACAATTCAGTGGTAGGTTTGGCAAACCAAGAACTGTTAACAGTTCTTGGACGTCTGCATTTTTCCAAACACTTACGAATCAGTCTGAGCAGTTACTGAAGTAATCTGACTCACTTACTCAACCGCTATATAAAACGAGAATGACTAATTAATGAACCTCATCCCCGCGGACTCTGTGGTGCAATAAAACATTATTTCAAATCATCATTTGGCAACATAATGAGAACAGAAAATTGTATGAATAATATTTACATAATTAATTATATTTAAATGTATATTTGAATGAATTATAATCTATTAACATTATTTTATAAATATATATTTATATATAATTAATATAATTAAATTATGTATGTGTATATATATATAATTTATATGTGTAGAAAATTAGTACATTTAAAAATATAATGACCTTATTAATATTAATTAATTGTATTAAATTGTAATAAAAATGTATTTTATATTATTTATTATATATAATTATAATGTAATTTTATTATTACTAAAATTATTGTACATTATTATGCACATTATACATTATTATACATAAATGTTTGGAGTTAAAATAATTTTTATCTAGCTCTTTTTTGATACCTCTAGCTGGCTCTTTTAAATATTAGCTTATGTAGAGTCAAAGTAAATCACACTACTTAGTAAATGTGAGCCTTGTAATCTGTATAAGATATAACTGTTTATTAAAGGTGCATTGAATGGACTGTTCTTCCTTCCCTCACAGCCTCATTTTCATTTGCATCAAATTAGAAATTTTGCTCTCTCTGCTGGTCTTATTTGTCTCTTACATGGCCTGTATCAAGTACAAAGATGTGTCAATCCTCCATATTTGTTTTGTGCTATTTTCAGAAGTTCTAACAGTTGATTTCTTTGTTTCCAGGGTGACATCCAGCAGCTGATGATTTTATCGGACCATCGCGCTGCGTTTGATTACTGTGAGCACTACAGCCCCGATTGTGAGGTTCCTGCGCCTGAACAGCCCCAGAACCAAGACCCAAACACTGATGAATATGTAAGTTCATCTACTGTACTTCCTCCAAGATTAATTTCCTTTAGAGCTGGAAGAGCATTGAGGACATCCCAGAACCCTCCAAACAAAACCAAACCAAAACAGACAGCATAGATTCACCTCTGTTGAACTCAAGAACATCTTATCGAGTGTTGGGGCACCCCAAAGCTCTTTTAAATCTTAAATCAAAAATAAAATCATCACATCAGCCAAGCACTTAACAATGATCACTAGCCTTGGCAGATTTAGTAACAGATATGTGTTAATGGTGAACCATTATTCATTTTAAATGGTAAATGATTTAGTGCAAGTACTGCTCACATTTTCTTCCGTGAATGTAGAATCTGGTTTTGGTGTTACAGTTGGCATATCTGACAGCACAAAGCGCACACTGTTTGACTATTTATACATTTATTCAGCTTTCATTCAGTATTTGGAATGAGAAACAAATTAAAATGGAGTAATAATACCTGCCCACACTTGTGTGTGTGTGTGTTTCAGGCGTATTAATTCTTTATGGCTCTTTCCATCTCATTGGAAACGACCCAGCTGCAGGCAGTCTGTTTAGAATTTATTTTTCCAACGAACGTATGACCTCATCAGTCAGAGAAATGAAAGAGAGAGTGATAGAGGGAGGAGATGAGAACTCTAAAGCAGGTCTCAGCCTGTAGAGCGTTTGGGATCAGTATTGCTGACATACTGTATTAATAATGTAAAAAATTTCAAGAAAATACATTATTCTGTCACTAAATTAAATGCTAAAGTAATATTCAAGTCTTTCTGTTAAAGTACAAGAAGCAAAAAAATCACATATCACATTTATGTGACAAGTTAAACTTTCAGATTTTGCCAGTTGTGCTTTTCTAGTGGATTCGATGTTAAATCACGCAGATATATTTTACTATATTTTATTCCATTTAATTAGGGATGAATTATTTCAAATGTGTATTCAATACAATACAAATGTGTATTCAATGGACTGCATTTGAAAATAAAGTATTTCCAAATCTAATCTTGCATTTATATTTAAAATGTAAAAGATTTAAATAAATAAATAAATTCATTATTAATAAAAAACACATTATTTTCTTGCAAAATAAAATGCTAAATTCATATACACGTCTTTCTGTTTTCCTATTTCACATTTATGTGACAAGATAGGATAACAAATGTGTATGTTAATAATGTAAAAAAATTAAAGAAAAGTAATTATTTTGTCAGTAAAAAAAGTCTTTCTTGTAGAAATATTATATATTTAAAATGTGTAAAATTAATATAACAACATAAAGATGAGCAGATATGGACTAAAAACCACAAAAGTCCAATTTTTATTTCATGGGGTCAATTGAGTGTTCATATTCAGTCTCTGTCCATCTGGGTTCACTCAGATGCCAATATCCTCTGTGGAGCGCTATGGAGAAAGGAAGAGAAGGCATTAAATGAAAGATTGAGAGATTTAGCATGTGAAACAGATGAGAAAATAGTTTAAGCTGAATAACACAGAGATGGCCAACCATTTTCAACTGATTCTCTATGGGAGCTGAGCAAAAGGCGGGCTCAAGGGAATTATGGGATTGACCACGGGGCAAAACGAATGGCTAGAATGTCAAAAAGTGGAGAAATGCTGAATTTAATGCAAATGACAGGTGCAAAATCATACTTTATATTTATGTGACAAGTAAAACTCTTTGTTAATAGTGCTGGAGTTTCTGGTGGATTCAAAGTCTGTGGTTTATAGGCAAAAACTTTGTTTTTCAGGCACTGGTCAATTTTGAGATTTTTCATGATGTTCTGTTTCAGACTAGTGGAAAGAAAACATTCAAAATACTTTTAAGTTTTTGTTTTATTGCACTTTATCTATTTGTGTCTTTTAGATTTCGTTTACAGTACATATCTTTAAAGGTCGTTTTCTCAAAATATAAAAGTTCTTAAACAGTTTTTCTCCATTCAGCAGCACTTACATACACCAAACTTTACAGTTTTATTCCTTTCTATATTCTGAAGTTTTTTAATGAAGGATATGTTCATATATAATTTGCCTGATTTTATATAACATGTTATTCCTAAAAACATGGTGAAAATGCATATTTTTAAAGGCTGTGAGTTTTTCTCCACTTTAGGAGCACTTGCATGCACCTAAATTTACTGTTTTATTCCTATCTGTATTCTGAAGGCTTTTACTGAGGGATTTGTTCATATACCATTTGCCTGATTTTATACAACATTTAGTCCTAAAAACATGATAAAAATGCATATTTTTAAAGGCTGTGAGTTTTTTCTCCACTTCAGCAGCACTTGCAGGCACCAAAATTTACAGTTTTATTCCTATCTGTATTCTGAAGGTTTTTACTGAGGGATTTGTTCATGTATCATTTGCCTGATTTTATACATTTATTCCTAAAACATGGTAAAAATGCATATTTTTTAAGCCTGTGAGTTTTTTCCCCACCTCAGCAGCACTTGCATACACCAAATTTTACAGTTTTATTCCTATCTGTATTCTGAAGGTTTTTACTGA